GATCATGATAGCCAGGCTTAGCTAAGTGCATCCCCCTTTGGGAGCTGTCCTAGGACCTTAAATCACCCTGCATAAATAGTCTCTCTGTGGCTGCACCACAGAGATGAACAGAGAAATGGGGCCTAATTTGGGAAAGCTCAGAAACACTTAATTCTGCCTTATTAATAAGCCTCGCCACTACACTAAGTATGCATTAAAATAAAAGTTCAGGTGGGTAGCTGCGTCAGCAGGCGTAGGCTGCAAAGGAACAAGTAATAGGGTTATTCCATGCTGAAAAGAGAAAAAAGAAAACATGTTTCAGATGTGGAGCCTTCTTCAGGTGTGAGAAATACAGGGCAGTAAGCAAAGGTAATGCAGCCGGAGAACAAAATCTGGGAGAGAGGAAGAGCAAGGGGTAGGAGCAGGAGACTTCTCTTTTTAGCATGGAATAAACCTATTACTTGTTCCTTAAAATAAAAGTGCTAATGTGTTAATGGCTCTTACAGAGTAGTAGCACTGTGGCTAAGGATCTGCCCCAGTGGCTTGAATGTTGCCGGTTCAAGTCCAGAGGCCGGCAGAGGAATCCTACTCTGTTGGGCCCCTGAGCAAGGCCCTTAACCCTAGTTGCTCCAGGGGTGCCGTATAAAAAGTTGACTCTGCGCTCTGACCCAAAGCTTCTCTCTCCCCGTCTGTGTGCCTGTGTGTCTCATGGAAAGCAAGCAGGGGTATGCGAAAATACAAATTCCTAATGCAAGAAAGTGTATATGGCTAATAAAGGGATCTTGTCTAAGCTAAGCACAGACACAAAATGTCTGAACCTGTGGGTGCTCTTGGTGTGAGCAGGATTACTACTGTAATTTAAATATTTTGTGACTGCATACTGCTTGTGATAGAACTTTAATATAATGTAGTTTAATATTCCTGAGTGCTGAGCAGAAATACGCATTTTGTTAATGATAAGAAATTGCTATTACTGAAGTGCTGCTTGTAAAAATCATAACAACTAAAGCTTGCTGTTAACAGTTATAAAGTAAAAGATATTTTTACTATCTAAATATGCATTATTTGAACAGAAGCTGAGATACCTCAAATATACTTAAATACAAATAACTACACTTATTAACACTTAATTTGCTTTTATCATTGTAGCACAACATGAAAGTGAGATTTTCAGTCAACACACTTTAGAACATTATTGTTTACCAATGTCATATTATTTAAATCTAAATGAACTCAAATTTAACTTTCTGAATAATTGACTGCATTTGTTTCTGATGGTCTTACACATCAGGGCTTCTGGCAAACGCTTGTTTAAAAGCAATCTGTGAAGGGGATGTGTGAGATATAGATGTTAAAATGACTATAGAAATATAGACCTCATTATGTAGTGCATTGAAAAGTAAAAATCATAGAGGGTAAGCCATACAATGCATATTTAATCAAAACTACTCTGGAATAGCATGTTGCATGAAAAGTGTTTTCATGGTATTTCAGCTGCATTATATGAGTTAATCATGTCCAATTTCTTCCTGTGAAAAATAAGACTTAAATAGTGTTTGGTTACCGAATTGTTATTATAAAGTGTGGGGATTATCACTGATGCTTCACAGCTCTTAAGCCCTGAGTTTGATTCTAGTCCAGCCTGCATTCTATGAGGGGTTTGTGTGTTCTGTCTATGACCATATGGGTTTTTGCTTGATGCACATATTTCCTCCCACATCCACAAAGACATGCTGGTCAGGTGAACAGGTGCCTCTATATGTGTTTACTGCCGAGTACAACACAAAAACTCTGAGGATCACTCCCAGGATCCAAGAGTCATGAGGCGGTAACATTGACACCCCACCACACAATCCTGCCATTAAATCTAAGGATAAAACATCAGACGTTATGCTAATATGCGATCGCATATATTATTGTTGTTCGTTTGTAGAAGTGCTCTATCTAGAAATAAAGATCTATCTTCAAATTATAGATTTATATTAAACTGTAAACTGTAGCAGAGCAGGTGTTGGGAGAACGGGTGAATCACCAAGGGGCAGGGCTATCGCATTTAGGCGAGTCACATTTTTCAAATTCTCACGGTGAAATCACTGAATTACCTGCAGCTGGAGAGTTTAGCTCCCTACAGCGTAAAAGCAGTTCCTGGGGGCAGTTGGACGTTGTTCTTTTATAGGACCACCCAGTTTAGAAGAAGCATCTTGCACAAAAAATTAGGTGAAAGTTTATAGCGGAATAAGACTGATAGCAGCCTCGGTCGTTTTCCGGGTCGGAACGCCGGTAAATAAGAAGACGGTTAATGAGCGTACCCGGCCAACCGGAATCGACCGAGAGAGGTTCTTGCCACTGCTATCCTGGAAGATATGGTTACGGTTCTTCTGGACAGCCCTTGCCACACACATAAACCTAAATTATAAATCGGGTGTCGTGGTCTGGCTTCACCTCTAACAATAAAATACTAGCTATTGTGTACTAAGATGTTTAGATTTGATTGATTTTCGTGGTGATGTTTCTACATCTTTAGATTAACTGACAAACTGGTACATATTGTAGTCAGGTTTGTTTACATTTTGAGCACAATTTTATAACTGTTCTCATTTATAGTGATTGGATTGACAAATGAACGAGAGAATCCTGTTTAAAGGGCAAATGAAAGTTATTTAAATTCTCTGAGGTTTTGATGAGTCATTTGTGGTCATCAGCAGGAATATTTCAAAACTCTGAAACTGGAAACAGGACCGTCAAATCTCTCTGCACCATCAAGGTTATCTGCACTTTGAAATTAAATTAACACGAATTTGGTTTTTCAAAAATTGAAATGTTTGCATTCACATTCTTACTACTACATTAAAAATGCTTAAATACAATAGCGTTTCTGTTGTGGATTGTGCAAATCTTAGACCTTTCCTTTAGCATGCCATTAGTAACTCGGGATGTTAGCAAATGTAGCGCTTCTAGTTTCACAATATACTTGTTTCCACATATTTTAAAATGAAATACTAATATTCCTTGCAGTTTGCCGTTTTTGGCTATCTCATTATTCTAAACAGCCTTTTCTCCAGTGCTCTTTAAATTACCTTTAAAAGAAACTAAAACAATCTTTCCTACAGCGGGGAACGTTTTATCCCCTATTAATTCAATTTACATCCATGAACTACAGTCTATGTCCTATATTAAGTTAAAAAAAAAATTGCAATTTCCATCTGCATGTACACTTGCCCCTAGGTTGGTCTGCATTATCTGTCTAGCTTCTTCTAATAATTGCTTGAGGAATTTCATCTGGCTGGTATGCATCAGAATTAAATACAGGATTTTTCAGTCTGCGTTGTATTTTCCATGTTTTAGACCATCCTTGGCTTTTGTGTTTGACTTGGGAAACTTACTGGAAATTTCCAGGAAGTGGTTTGTAGAGTAATTATGTGAATACCTTTGTCCACAGAACCTAGCCCTTTTTTGCAATTAATATCTTATATATCCAGAGTTCCAGAGTGTGATGAATACTGGCACAACCTGTTGCCCTGAGCCAGTATATCGCTTTAGGAATGCACATTTCAGTGATTTGCCACTGCTGGCTTTTGGAACTCCTCAGGCTTCTAAGATGTATTGGTGGTCCCCTTTCAGAGAAGCCTACTCAGTCCCAAAAAACAGTCCTTCACAGAGATTAGTCCCCAAAGATCTTCAGTTCCTCTTCTCCCATACAACTCTTCAGTCCTCTATTTCACTGAGGGAACTGAAACGGATGAATTCCTGATAGTCTCCTGAATCCTCCATCACTCAGAGTTTCTCAAGGCAGCTTCCAGTAAGTTCTGAACAGCAAAAAGGAACCCTGCGATTTATAGTATGCTATAGTATAAAAGCGCAGACCGCAGTGGTCCCCCAATCCTCGTTTCAAAAGTTTGGGTATATATACATTTTCATTGACTAAACATCCTTAAACTTGATTTATTAATACAACCATGGGTTGAAGGAAATGCTGTCAAACAAAAGCCAGAGTCAAAGGAGAAGACAATGTGAGTTTTCCATCCGATTCCTCGTTAAAAGGCTGATACGACTCAACAAAACTGTGAACCCTTAAATTCCAATCAGAATTGTTTGAAAATAGAGGCGTATTTGGCCAAGTATTTTCCTTTCTCTCTATATAGGATCAGTTATTTTGTCCAGAAGTATTCATACTCATAAGAAATGTTCTATACTGTGGTGTTACAGTTATGTTATATAATTGTAATGCAGAACAAATTAAAACTGATCTAGATCTCTTTTTCCAAGAAGTTGACACTACTGGAAAACACACTATCCCCAAATCCTCAAACTTTCAAAAACTTATTTTATGAGCTCTGTTGAAGAATTTCCTTAATTTTTTCCTGAAGGAAGAAAAGTTATTTTGAAGTAGACTAAAAACATTCACGCTTTAAATAAAATAAAAATGGCCTAAAATGCAGAATACACTCTGAAATAATCTTGGGCGTTACATAGCAAGTTGACCAACATATTACATTCAACACTGGGAAAGAAAATATATGATGAAACACAATTCATACATTCTTCTGAATGTACAAATTTACAGATGTATAATATCTCAATTTCATTACATTTCAGGACAAATTTACAAAACATTTTATTTCTTTAAATTCTGTGCTGGTCAGCCAATACTTTGCATATGGAGTCCAAAATGCAAGCTTGGGTGACTGTCCTTGGGAGGGAAAAGGCTGGTGGAAAAATGAATTACATCTTTGTCATGTTCGCATTAGGCTGAATGATCAAGGTGAAGTCATGCCAAGTGTTGGGTCTCCTCAGTAACTGTTGCCAAGGCAGCCCAGAAGAAAAAGACATGCCGGCAGTATCTGCTGAAGGAAAATATCGCGTCAACATTTACCCACAACATCCTGAGAAGGTTTTTCACAGAAGCTTGCAAAGTAAGGTGATAAAACACTTATCTAACAAACTACCTCTCGTTCTAACAGTGTTGCAATTAAATGTAACCAAAGGTGAACAGAATGTATTACATCTGTTTCAATCACTTTAGGTGAAACCATTAGTGTTAATATGCTATAATTCAACAACAACAGCCGTTTCTGTCAAGGAATGGCTGGATGGGATCCTTGGATCAATAACTAACTACAAAAGCTAGATAGTAATAAAGCTGTAAATAAAATGAGACAGCACAACATTCTGTCTGAGCAAGTCATATTTTGTTAAAGATAGCGGTCTCAGGAAACACTTTAACCTTTCTGGAACAGCATTTAAAAATAAGGAAAAATAAATGTTTCATTTGTACAGTGTCTTTATGCTCCCAATATTATTGCCAGCATTATCATAATGTTTCATATATGTAACTGGTTTCGTACAGCAGAATGCATAACGGTAGAAAACACTAGTCATTATGTGTTTCTACTTTATTGCCTTTACAATCTTGGATTTCAACAATTTTGTCTGCTTTAAGAACGTTAGATGATTCAAGACCAGAACTGCTCATAAGCAAAGTCACGGCCCCACAATGTACTTGCATTAAAAAAAGTGTGGATATTTAGGTCAGACATGTTTTTGAGATTCCAGTGTTGTCTTAAGTGCTAGTCTAACTTCTAACTCTGGGTAGTTGGGTTTTTGAATATGTAATCTTTATCTGCGGTCAGGGAATGACAGGTTATCCAAAGTTACCTTTCTCTAATCGGACTCCCCCCAGGAAACGATCAGGGCGGCCAAACGGAGCACTATCCCAGACAGAGAGCTCCAGGCTGGAGTCCATGACCTCAGCCTGGTAAATACCACTGAATACCATTGGGTGATTCCACTGGGGGCAGGCCTTCCTCTTCGATAAAGGGGTTTTCTGTTTTATCTCTCTTCCTCCCGGCAGAATGAGACACCTGCACATCAACCACCACATGTTGTCAACAGGAAGTCACTCCTCTTATCAAACCATAAAAGACATACCACAAAAGCTCAGCAAGTATTATATGATATTTTTTACCCTTTGACAAATGAGTTGACTGTCCCATCTGGCCTCAAGGAAGGGAGGTTTTTGGCTCCAATTATAAGAACGCTCAGCTGACCGAGATCGGTCATCTGAATTTGGTTTTCTGTGTGTAAAGAGAGTGATCAGATTAAACCCCTGATAGACACACTCTCACGGTTGCACCATTGCTGTTTGGAGTATGGGCTATTTTACTAGTTAACTGTAACAAGGATTGTCTAAGAGGCAGCATAAAATGTTGGGCAAGTTGTGCCAGGGTTATGCAATTGAGAGTGTTAGCTTGTTCCTGGATTTCTGCACAAAAATGACCAATTTAAGTGATTGTGATCTTGCAGTACTGTCAAGGAGAACTGCATATCTCCACCAGTCGATCCTAACCTACCACCTACAGGCATTGAGGGAATTGCAATGGACAAAATAGCAGATGCTTCTGCCAAGTGTAATGTTACAAAGGAAAGCATGTGTTGTCCTCGTGCTATGTGGCTTTAAGGGGCTCACAGTGATAAAGTCAAGTTGACTAAAATTTGGAGGCTCCAGTTTAAAAAGATGACAACAATGCTGATTTCCCATTACAAAAGCTATTATTGTACTACTGTATATTTGTAAATTGACTATAAAAAATCTCTTGAATTAAGTTTTGCTGCTTAGGCCAACTTCAAAGTAATCACTTAATGAAAACTGCAGATATCGGACAGGAAGTGAATAATCATTACAGTGCTAAAATTACCCAAGGTTATGTGCAGTTCTAAAAGAAACATCTGTCAACAAAAGATATATATATATAGCTTCTTAATCTTTATATAATCTTAAAATGTTCTAAACATTTAAAAAAAAACACTTTCTTCTTATGTTATTTCAGCCTTCTATTATTTAAACTGATACTTGACCAGATATTTTAAAATACACCAGTTTGCAATGACACTGTTAGTCTGAAGTAAGAAATAATTTCATAATTTACCTTCCTTTCCAAAGTGTATGCCAGAGCCTTGTGGCAGTGAACTGAACTTGACTTTTATCATGAGTTCTCCGTTGTATTGCTCTGGAACACATTCTTCATACCTGTCAGGCTGGTCAGAGATAACCACTTTAACCAAGTAATCAGATCTAAAAGAAGCAGGATCTTCTCTGAGCTGTAGCGGTTTATGTCTTCAACAAAATTCAGAGGAAGCTGGGTAATGATTATACTTATTAAAATAGATAGCAAATGAGGAAGTGATTTTAGGTTGGGGCTAAATGTAATCAAATGAACAGTGGACTTTTCACACTATATACTGTAAGTGATATTACAGTACTAACACTGAAATGAACTAATTATCAGGGTTTTGATATAGAGCTATGGTAGGGACGTAAAGGTTAGCGGTTTGGCTCTTCCCTGGTGATTAGAAGAAGCCCTAATTTGTTCAAATAATGCATCACAATCTCGATACCTGTAAAGGGGAGTAATGATCAGGCCTGGGAAACCCAGAGGTTTATTAAAGTCCCCTAGGAGTTTTTGTTTTTCTTTAGTCTGTGCCCACACGGTCAACTGTGTTGTACTATGCAGGCACAGAGGAGTCAACTGCAATATCATTTTGTAAAGTGGTCTGTGAAAAATTGTGAATTGTAAATAATAGATTTATTGATATTGTATAATCAAATATTATCCAAAAACAATTAATAGAAAACATCTGTTTTGTTTTTCCTAACTATGTAGTGCCCTTTAAACCTCTCAGTAGTTTAAAACACTGTAAATATATTTATTTATCCTATTCAGAGAAAGGATTATAAAAAAGTGTACAGCTCCATTCCTAGACAACTGCAATCCAGCAGTTGTTATAGGTTTCTTTGTAACTCAAGCTCCTTAAGAACTGAGTAAAAGTACTAATTCAGTTATTCCAATAATTAGGTAGTGCATGGTTACCTACAGACCTCCAGAACTGCAATCTGAACCACTAAGGCACACATTTAAAGAAAGAATAAATACCAGCAGAGCTTAGGGATTTATAGCTAATGTGAGGTACTCAAATATTCTCTGAGCTTTTTCATAAAAGAGCTATTTCATTTAAAAGAAGCTAATATGTAGACGCATTATCTTCCTAATTGCAAAATCAAGTCCAGTGTACTCGGGGACAACTGTAGTTTGTGCAAAAGTAGTAAAACAAGGCACAGTGATAACAAAACCATTACTTTTAGGTCACTATTCCACAACAAATTGTTGTATTAAGCTGAGTAATGAAATGAGGAGTGAGAAAAGTGGTGTGGTGGTCTGTATTATGGTGTGAAAGCAAAGTTAAGTATTCGGGGTTACCTTGGAACTGAGCTGGTACCAGATGTGGGATTGAGTGGAGTTGTCCTCGAATTTCCAGCAATCCAGAGAGATGAGGACCTCTCCCAGGAATACTTTGCGCTTCAGTGTTCCAGAGTGCCAGAGGGAAGCCTGTAGAGTTCTTGTTTCCAGTTGGGAACGCTCTATGTTGTACTGTTTTAAGTCACAGGAGGTGAAAAAGAATTTGTCAGACAACAAATAGAAATGAGGCAATTCTAACTGGGCATAGCGAATTCTTACCATGATGATGCTTTTCTCACCTTTTATATCTGATGAATGGTGTTGTATATTTCTGCAACCAGAACATTATAAATGAAACAAATGATCTGAATGATTTCAGCTCTGTGTGAGATCTCGGTAACGGTAAATAGAGGGGTCTGGTTTAATGACTGAGGGTGACGAAGAATTCCATACTGTATGTGTATTTGGTTTCTTTCCTAGCTGACAAAATGGCAGCCTGACCATAAGGACAAGGCTGAAGAAATGCCTCATATTTGTGAAAAATGATCCAGGGAGTGGCTGCAATGGTATAGAGGGGAAGTGGGGGAAAAGGGACGTTCAAAGGGATGTCCAGAAGGTGAAAGAGATATATGTGTGTGTATATATATATAGAAGAGAGGAAATGGACGGTATTAGAAATTAACCTCAATCCTGACCCTCTCTTAACTCATCAGATACAATGATGTGGTTGAAAAACAAAAACAAAATGTTTCCCAAAAGGCAATTAAAACTAAAGATGACTAGAACAACTTAACTTACTAATTTTAATGATTTTGACAACATTTTAGTAAAATATGAGGCTATTCATCAAACTTTAACTACACAATCTACATATTACATGACTCTATTAATGGGAAATCTCCTTACTCTAAAAGTCTCATTAAAAACTGGGTCCACTGTGTTCTTCTTCACTGCCGTCTTCAATTTACTGTGAGGAGACTTGTCTGGAAGAAGGTAGATCTTGACATACCTGCGTATCACAGAAGAGGCATTTGAAGGTGCAAGAAAATTATAATGTGCTTCATTTTATATTAATTTAAAGACCTGCAAACTAATAAGTAGTTACAAGCTAAGCACTTAAACAGGAATTTCTTCGATTTCATATGTTATTCACTCATTTACTTCCAAAAACAGGAACTTTCTTTTGGCTCTGGGGATTCTTTTTCTTTTTTCTGTAGACTCAACACTTACTGTAGGCTTCCAGGTTACTCATTCCAGCCTTAATTTAAACTCAAGATTTAATTTTCCTAATCCTGGATCCAAGATTGAATATAGTAATAAAACTTTTAAAAACATATTTTGCAAACTGCACACTTGTTAACTTACGGATTGCACCTTTTCCTCTTTGTATCGCCATAGGCCAGGTTTTTACATGCTCTAACGGAGATTTCTAAACAGGAGAGTTTGAAATTATACGCAATGGACAGCTCAATCTCGCCCGTTACACTGGCTTTGTCGAAGTTTCCAAGTTCCGTGCAAGTGCTGCTGATACTGCATATACTTTCCTAAATGTGAAACATGAAAAGAGGAAATACTAATATATTAACCATCTTTTAACAATGAAACAGATCAAACCTTAGATAAAAAACAGCATGCACTCTGTTCTAGAAGTAGCATATATTCTGGGGGGTTTTCTCACAGTGTTTTTCCAATGTCTTGATATAAGCACTTTTAACAAGAACTGACCCGTTTCTTTCCTTCCGAGTAGAGATGGCTTGTAGGTCTGCCTTCATTTACATTTGACTTTAAATCTTCCTTATTGTCGGTCTTCTTTGACAGGATGGGAAGGCTGGGAACTTTCGTCAACTGTGACAAAAAGAGCGTATCATCCAAGATAGTTCATTTACATGAAATTCTAGCATGCAATTAAAGGAAATACTGTAAAATTACTGAATCTAGGTTCTTGGCAGCAAATGTTAGAACAATGTAAGAATATAAGAAAGATTCCACGAGAAGTGCCCATTCAACTCATGTACTGTAGCTCATTAAGTAGTTGATCTAAGGATCTTATTTTGCCGATAGCTTTCTTCAGAAAAGAGCTATCAGCTTCAACCATATCACTGGGTAGCTTGTTCCATGTGCCCTCAGTAACAATTCTCAAATTATCAAAGATCAATTATAATTAAGATAATTATCAATTATCAATCAATTTTCATTATTACATAAATTGTGTAGATATTTTATCATTGATTACTTGTTATAATACTGCTGCATATAACAAAAAATATGAATACACTTATGGGGAAGCTGGTGAGTCACCCAGGTCTTTTTACTCAGTGATGACATTTGTGAATTTTTTTCATTTATAAACCCACCACCCCAACACACTTTTTATCCCCAGGACTATTAAAGACAGCTTTTCCATCCTACAGGATCATCCCTCCATTGGGGCCCTCTTTTCTGACCACCCCCTTGCAACAGAGCTCGCTGTATCACCTGCAAGTACATATCTAACACCACACTCATTTAAGGCCCCTCAGGACAGCTCTGGATCACTCGGATGACATCTTGTACCTCCAGCAACCTTATTTACTGTATCTAATACACTTCTGACATGAAATGGGAACTGACATGAAATGTTTGTTTTGTAATAAATGTAATTTTTGTAAACTGACAAAAGTACATTTGACTTTTTACTACAGACAGTACATGTGATTGTAATAAAGTTACTGTGGCAAGAGTGAAGGAAATAAAGCATGATGATCACTTATCCACAAGTACCTTTCACAAGGAGGGGTTGAAAAGGAAATTACAAGAAAAACTGTGTCCGCAGACCACAATCAACAGGCACAGAGGGAAATAAAGTAGCTTGAAAAACAAAAGTGGTCATCACAGGTAACGAAAAGCATTACAACATGAGCAGAGCAATTATTTTAAAGTCTAGGGTGACCAAAAAACAGCTATCAGTTATCTCCAGCAACATACAGTAATATGATGGAGAAAACTACAGTACATTTCAAAACACCTTTATAAAGAAAAAGTTACTAGAATTTACATTATCCTGAAAAACAAAATGGACACTGAACCTTAAGATTCACAGTAGCAGATGTTACGTAAGGTAGGAAATTGTATAATGTCAAATTGTAAATCTTGGGTGCATAAATGTAAAGAAATTGTGTTATTTTTACAGTGTAGGGAGTAGCTATAGTAAAGATCCAGTATTGTTTCATTCTTAAAACTAATTCAATATGTTCAGGAGGGAACATTTATATATTGTAACGCAACGGGGGCTCAGGCGGGCGCCCTTGCCGCATTAAGTCGGCCCCATCCCGACTGAGGCTCGAACCCGGGACTCCCGCGTCTCTCTGCAGCGACCTAGCCCCATGAGCTAAAGAGAAATCTCACCACAGCCCAGTAGCTGTAGTCCTGCTATCACAGGGAAGGGCGGTGACATCACCTGCTCTGGTACGCCGGCTCTTACACAGTGCCTGTCGGCCGTATGCGTTACACTCTCCCCCGCTTAAATCGCCTAACGGGGCTAGGTCGCTGCAGAGAGACGCGGGAGTCCCGGGTTCGAGCCTCCAGTCGGGATGGGGCCGAACTAATGCGGCAAGGGCGCCCGCCTGAGCCCCCGTTGCGTTACATTGGTGTCAGAAGCGGGGTGGGATAGCCCTTCGCCGGGGACGGCGATTTAAGCGGGGGAGAGTGTAACGCTTACGGCCGCCAGGTACTGTGTAAGAGCCGCCGTACCAGAGCAGGTGACATCACCGCCCTTCCCTGTGATAGCAGGACTACAGCTACTGGGCTGTGCAGAGATCTCTCTTTAGCTCATGGGGCTGGGTCGCTGCAGAGAGACGCGGGAGTCCCGGGTTCGAGCCTCAGTCGGGATGGGGCCGACCTAATGCGGCGAGGGCGCCCGCCTGAGCCCCCGTTGCGTTACAATATAATTGTCATAAAATAAATTACACAGCCATTTACATTGGGGAATCGGGAAGGAGACTCGGAGACCGCTTCAGAGAACATTTTAGGGCTGTGAAGATTATAGATTTCTCCAAGCCTATTGTTTCTCATTTCATCTCTGATGGCCATGATCACACTAATCTCTCCGGCTGTATTCTCAAAGATGGTTATCCTAAGTCCCACATCAGAAAGACTACAGAAACTAAAATTATCCTGCAGCTAGGATCACACCTTCTCTCAACGACAGACTAATTGCCTTCTAAATTCTCTCTATTCATTGTAGGTTTCATTTCACACCTCTCTTCACATATCCTGACTTCACACCTCCTGATTGGCCTATCTTTCTGTCCCCTGCCCCCGCCTCTCGCTCCTCCTCTCTCCCAGCTTTTGTTCTCCCACTACATTACCTTTGCTTACTGCCCTGTCTTTCTCACACCTGAAGAAGGCTCCATGGCCAAAACATTGTGTTTTCTTTCTTCTCTTTTCAGCATGGAATAAACCTATTACTTGTTCCTTTGCAGCCTACGCATGCTGATGCAGCTACCCACCTGAACATATTTATAGACTGTTTTTTTATTGTAGGAAAATGTTAATGAGTGTTTCTTTAAATGTGTAATATACCAGTATTAGTTGTTTGCAAATGCGGTTAACTATTTCCTCACCAAGAAGACATTTTCAGCTCTGGTGTTCTATTAACACTGAGAAATTGGAGGTTGCTTTTTCACCTTGAAAATCAGTAGGAAAAACACAGGGTTCTGAAAATTATTTTTTTTAAATGGCTGGCATCATTGGAAGTTGAATATGTTAAGTAAATTAATCTGTTAATTGAAGATTCCCGTCTACGAATCACATTCAAGAAAAGGGATCTCGCACGATCAATGCATTTCTAAGGACATCAGGAAAAATCAATGTAAAACATGCAAAGCATTGAATCTGTTAACTATAAATTAACTGTGCTTAGATCTTAAATACTCCCTGGGACATGAATCAAGGAAGAAAAATCAAATTGGAAATGCATATCATAAACTTCTACTTCTGTACTTCCTCGGAAGACTGAGTCCAAAGAATCCTATTCTTCTTCAAGCAAGCCTGTGTTTTGCATTACTGAACACTGATCACATCTTAAGACAATCATATTATTATTTCTGTGGGAACATTTGGAAATTTGCACACGAAATGGAGTTTATAACAGAAGTTTGGGAGGGATGACAACAACCAAACTCAATCAGACTCTGCTGTCGGTAATTAGAAACCACTCCCGATGTAATTTCCTCTCCTACAACACTATAAATACTGTATGTGTCCCTCGCATACACCTTTTTGCAGCCCACCTCCACCCCTTGGGGGTCCTGGCCTCCTCGTCCTCTGGCCAGGAGGTTAGATCACAGCCAAGTGGATTAAGCCACATTTTGACTTAATGCTCCATAATCCTTTCAGGCACTTTATTCTTGGGTGTTTTTTGTTTTGCGTTATGCAATTCACTAGGAATAACAAGTCCAGCAGTTCTTTTGAACATCATGAATGCGCTTGGATGTCTCGTTCCCTCTCTTACCGGTGCTGGCTTGTTGATGGCTGGGTCGGACAAACTCCTGCGCTCCTTCCTGGGGCTCTCCCCATAGTCCGCGGTCAGGAGGGAGCGGTCCACTGTCACGTCATTCTGAGATTTGGAGAGTTCTGAAGCCAAGCAAACAAAGAACACTATTCTAATGCGACACTGAACACTTCACATTGCTTTTTTTTGTGTGTGAGATCTAACGAAGCAAGATTCCCACAAGCCAGAAAGGGAGTGAATGGACATACTGTAGGCTGTACTTTCATTTAAATGTACAGTATATTCTTAGAAATGTAAATATAATCTTATTTGTTGGTCTTTAAGAATGGGATATCTTAATGATACAGATCTAATTAAATTAGTTACTGTAATTTACTTGAGATTAACTATTTGGATTACTTGCCAAGATGAATGATTGTTTGCTAAACACAGTTGTCAGTATGCATCATTAACAAGGTGTTGAAATGTCTGCATGACAATGTGACGAAAGCCATTCAAAAATAAAGACATGTACGGTAGAAAAGCTCTTACTTTTCATGTGCGTGGTGAGTGATAGGAAGAGGTTTTCTACTGATCTAGTAAATCCTTTTGAATTCTGAAGTCCCTGCAAGATACAGAATATTGAACAAATTAAGATTTGTTTAGATTTTATAGTACTCCATTATTCAGTAGCCTAAACTAGATTATGCCACAAGACAGAGATCAAATCACTTTGGCATAATGCTATTGGTTTATTAACTGAATTTATTATTTATACTGAATAAAATGCAGTACTGGTAAACTGCTTGTCTGTTGTCCTTAATATGATAAGCACAAAAAAAACTTTAGGAATCATTATACTTTCATATTTTACTTTACAAATAGTGGGGGGGGGGGGGACTACATTTCAAAACCAAGACCTTCTCATTTCTTAATATGGCGATTGACTAGAATGATTTGAGAAGCAAACTTGAAAATAAAAATGGAATGGAAGGCATTGTGATATACAGTGTAAGGCTATTTCAAATGTAGGAAGTATAAAGTGAGACATAAACCAGTTATAATTTAATTAATTTAAATAATTGACTGTATTTTGGAATTAGCATTATATAACAGGTATTTTAATTAAATATTAAGTATACATAATGTATTAAGCAGCTTAATACATAACATATTCAGTTTGTCAATATCTTACTCCAGGTTTGCTCAAGTAAATGGATGTGTCTTCCAGAAATGGTGGTGGAGTAGGAGGGACAATGGATATATTACTGAAAAAAAACACAATAGGACATTTCAGTTCCTACATGGTTTGAGTTAAAAATCAATACTATTTTTCTTAGTTACAGAGATGAAGATTCTTTGTAGTTTTCTCTGTAGATAAGAGAAAACATGTACATCTGGTTGGTAACATCAGGTGTTAATGGGCATTGACAGCCCAGATTTAAACACTACCCTATCTAGGACTGCTCACAACAGTGCAATTTTTAGAACTTGTCTACATGGATTTCACCTCTATATTACAATAGAGAACTGCAACAGCAGCAATCTGGTTCACCCATCCCAGTATCTTCCAGCCTTTGCCTTAGTTTTTGAGATCTGAAGAAGTAAGGATAGAAAATAGTAATGCAATGCTTTCTTAAATTTAGGAAGCTATACACATTGAAATTACAAATAGCCCCCTTCTACAAGCATCATGTAACACTGATAGCAGACTTTTTCTGTCCAGAAATACCAGTTTTACTGTAGCAGTGATATACCCTCTTCCCAGAAACTGTGATTAGTACTAAGTGATTAACATGAAGGAGGTAGATTTGCTTTATTTAATGCAGTTCTTAGAGTTAATAGAGTAGATATTGTAACTTCATTTGACTTACCTTAATCTCTGATAGGACTTTAATAGCTTTTCGCCAACCGTCTCCTGTTTGTCTGCGAGATCAGAGAAGTGATTTACAGATTCATTATCCGAATGGATTAATTTCTGGATAAATTTCATTACTGTTGTTATGAAGAGAGGATATTTTTTTAAATAAGCCTGATAAATGCTTTTTCATATGGAAGGAAGAGGTGGTGTTTCTCATCAATACAAAATTAAAGAAAAACAGTTGTATAATAGAATCCAATCTGCTTCCTGGTTTTTGCAATGCCACACTAAGTCAAAGTCATGGGGCATCTGCAGTCAACTCCAGAACTGACTATCTCTGAAGTTTACAGAGACATTCTGTATGCTTATTTACAAGAAGAGTTTTTTATCCATATTGGGTGATGCACTGTGCAGCATTATAATGACCCAAAACAAACAGCCAAGTAGTAACCGAGTAGTTTTTCAGGAGGGAAAAAAAGAAACCTTTGACAGGTCATGTCAAAATCTTGATTTTAAATCCAATTCTGCACATACTGTATTCTACATTCCGAAGAAATAATAATAACCCACGAATGGGCAAAAACGCCAAAGTGGCTGCAGCAAAGGCTTGGAAAAGCACCTAAAATGCTCATGCAGTGCTCAGTGAGCTCAATTAATGCCTCCAAAGCAAAAGCAGCCACATACTAACTTACATTCTTTCACAATTTAAAGTGAATGTATCTCAGTACCTATTGTCGCTTAAAATCGCTGTTTGATTAAAACAAAGCTTAAGCCTCTTAACTGCAATTTTGTCTTCAAATAGCTCATTGCTCTAGATTAAGCTTTGGCAGTGTCAGATGAGATTTTCATTTGTAATGTCAGACAAATACCATCATTTATTGAATTAAACAGTGTTCAAAATGTATACAAACTTACAGTAGCAGCAAGGCACATAATTAAACTAGGAGTTAAGTTTTATTATAGATTTATTATAGATTTCTAATCTTTCTGTTGGCTTGACCAGTGAATAAACCCAGGCCTCTGCATAAACTACTGTACATGTCCTGTGTCTGGACTTTAACTTTTAGTTATAGATGCCCAGCCACTGACATCTATATGTCTGCACATCAGGCACCATAAGTGATCCCAGCAGCAGGCCCTGGAAAATCATCCAAAAAATGACCAACCAAAAAGGAAAGAGGAGTTTGAATGTTCTCCTCATGTTTGCATGGGTTTCCTCTGAGTGCTTCAGTTTCCTCCTACAGTCCGAAGACGGACGGGAAAATTGGCCCTGCTGTGAGTGTGTGTGTGTGCCTGTGTGTGCCCTGCAATGGACTGGCATGTTGTTCAGGGTGTATCCTGTCTTGTGTTTATTGCTTGCTCCGGCACCCTCACAATCCATGAAATGGGAGAAGTGGTTAGAAAATGGATGGATGAAAATTTTATAGATATGTTTAACTCTGAGTTTTATAATTCCTGTCTTTGTGATTCTTGATTGTACAATCAGCCATTGGTATCAAAGCAAATTTCATATACTATTACTTGTGTTGGTTTGATATGCATGTTTATGTATTGTATTAATAAACTGTGTTTTTAAAATATGGTCTGATATTACTTGTCATTCTGACTGATTGATCATTAATAACCACATTACAATTTCATATAGTGGGAGTAAATTAATCCATCGCATCTCTACATAATTAAAAAAACCAAATTACTACATTATTACTGTTTACTGCGTTAAAAAAATAAACAAACCTGCTTCGATGGGAAATTTCTTTGCTCTTTCTTCCAAGAACCATTCGCCAGATCTTATTTTAACTTCTCTGCAGGGGAAAAAAAGACGTGTTTGTCTTTTTTTGTTGTGTTGTAGTTTTCATTTAGGGGGTTAAGTGTGAATACAATTAATACGTTTAAGAACAGGAAGGGCTGTTCGTACTAGAACTCGTCAGAATCACTTTCCGTGGATGTCTTGTGAAACCTCTAACTGTTGGTGACGAGGCTGTATTAGTTCCTTGACTTTATTCATATTGGCCAGCTGCGCATTTAAACTGAGCTCACCTGTACGCGTAGCAGACTGTGCATTTCCAGACTCTGGCAGTGATGGCGATGCGACATTTGCTGCAGATGCGGTGGCTGCATCCTTTGCATACGGCCCCGCAGTTCCACAGCTTCCCCAGGGGCCTCTGACAGCGGGCGCAGCTCTTCTCGCTGTAATGCTGGGAGAAGCTCTTTGCACCCTTTCGGCGTAGCTCCTGAAGTTCCGACTTCAGTTTTCTGGAAAAGTAAATTCCCCATTTTTCACTTCATCGCATACCACATTCAATTACGCACGAAATTGTTTGAGATTAGTTTTTCAGGAATTGATGTAATTTTATTTCACGACAGGAATGAGGAAGAACGTTGGGTAATTAACTAACCTACACTCCTCAGCCCTATTACAAATACTTTATGGTGTAAATTGCTCTTTTTGTTAAAAACAAACTAAACATAACATTTTGAGATACTGTGTGCTTCTGATAATAAAAATGTGTAAATGTATTTACTTTTTTCAGTGACATGTTAATAATGATATACTTGTATCATGAAGAATACTGACAAGATCAGGTCATTCTTATCTCTTTCCAATCTATACCTTTTCTCACGCAGCCCCAACAGCTGCAATGCTCTCTTTGTTTGTGTTACTGGTCAACCTATTTTAGGATTACAGCTGGTATTCTAGTTCAATGCAACTGACAATTCTTACTACTGTAGTAAAAAAAGAACATATTACGTCTATCCTGGCCTCTCTGCAATGCCTTAAAGATAAAAAAAAATATATTATTTACATTCAGAGCACTTCATTTTTTCCAATTAGAGTGCACAGCTGAAATACGTTTTTTGCTGTTTGTCTGCAAGATTTTTTTCTTGGGAGGATTTATGAGTCTTATTGGATAAATTTCAACTGATAATAATGATCGAACCTAATTTTAGCTTAATTGTTAAAAACAAGCATAATATTCACTTAATGATTTAAACAATTTTCTGATGAAGTTCATACCTTTGTATTTATATTTGCTTAATTGACCCATGAATTAAACTATAACAGTTTCTGAAATTATATATCACCTACAGGTAGAGACTAGAGGTACTGTAGATACAGTGTTGTTAATCTTGGTCATTGTGTAATTTCTCATTACAGTATATCTGGCTTTTTATAGAGCTTCTACTGAGGAGTAAGTTCAACCAAAAGTGTGCAATAGTTAAGGATAACATCTGACAACTAAGGCTTGATTTGGAGCGGTGCAGGTTTTAAGTAAGCTTTAAACAACCAATATAAAAAACAATACTCCAATGAATGCGTTTGCTTAAAGTAATTTAAAGATCATATGAAACATTAAACTGAATACCAATCATCCCTTGAGGACAATAGTTAATTACTTAATTGATCAATAACTTACAAATGTTTCTAATCTTTAGGAACCGGTGGTAGAGACCTACTACTTACTAGACTGGGGCTCTTGTGAATCAGGGGTGAAACATTTGGTTTTATAGTTATTGACATTTTTCTATTTCCTCAAATACTAAATTCTTTCCATCAGTAACAGCAATATTAATTTTAGTAACATTTTATTTTCTGTTGTGCATGATATTATCAGACAGAACTCCAGATAAACCAATGAAAATCATTTACCTGATCCTCTCTTCTTCCAATGCACGGAGAATCTTATCTCTCTGGAGCACTTCCAGAACCTTCTCCCTTTCCAGTTCCTTCAGGAAACTTAAGTCCATGTTTCCAGCAAGTGAATTATATTTCTGGTTGTGTATATATATTTTTTTGTTTTGAAAGAATGATACACAGATTTTTAATTAAAAAGGTGAAAAAAGGCACAGGATTTTTATCTGAAAATTGCAGAGAGCCTTCTCATTGGAACAATATAAATGCAGAGTGAAAGACATCTTCTTTATACCAAGGATTTGAATTTTGCTAAGTTCCTTTTGAAGTTAGGTGTGAAGTTCTTTGTGTTCTTATACTCTTACAGATGAGAGATCTCATTTTCTGCAACAAACAGCTGCCCAGCTCCACATAGTTCTGGAAAGATGATGCTTCCTCCAAAGGTGGTATTTCTGAAAGCCAAATAAGCTTTCGTTTACAGGCAGACTAGGGCATTTTCTAGTCCTGATTTGTCTCTGAAGATGGGGAAATCTGCCACCCTGTCAAGACCTTAAAAAATAAAAAAATATAGAAAGGAAATATTGCTTTCTGAAGGAAATATAAAAGTGCATCAGGCACTTTAATCAGCAGTCTCATAATAGTACCTCAGGATAGAAGGAGAGGAAGCTGGCTTTTGTTTGCTGCATTGATTTTGTAATGATGTGGTCATTTGGCCCATTAAAGAGAAGGTACCCAGTTCCGGATCTTTGCCATAGATTCCATTATCACACACTCACTGCCTTAATGGATAAGAAATGCCTGTCCTCTGTTCAAAATTGTAATTCATGAATGTCATTCAATGAACAAGAGTCTTATCATTCTCCCTCCAGTTTTATGAAAAGAGACAGAAGTAAAACAATTTCAGATTATTTTGCGTTAATTTCCGTTCACAATACCTTTAACAGGCACACATTGACACCATAATTGTGAACTATGTAAATACGTACTCATGAAAAAGACCAGTCTTATCAAGCACTGTGATTCCTCCCATGCAAAGGGAAGATAAAAGCTCCCTTGACTTATCTTTGTGTACCATGATTCAACACAAAATGAGAGCTTTCACAATTACATTTCATGCTCTTTAACCCTGGCCTTCAAGTTCGTATTTGGCCAGCGGAAGAAAAAACAGATATAACAGACAGTACTGGAAATTTGGTGTCAAAGTTTAACTTTTTGAAAATGTTGATATAATATACTGTAGAAAACATCACAGAAACATCCCAAGTTAAAATTTAATTTGATCTTCTCATCATGGCATGATGCTCAATTTTCTATTGTATTCAGTATAAATGAGGGTAGGAATGCTTCTATAGCCAGAGTAAAATCCTAAAGTGCATAAGATAAAATCATATATTATCTATTACTTCTACTATTCTCTTCCTTACTGAGGTCAAGAGTAAGTTTACACTTGGGGTGGCAACCTTCAACCATTGTTTTATATTTAGAAATGTTGCATGGGAATTAGCAGCTTTGTTTAAAGTTCAACTGCAGTTGCAACAGTATAATACTTATAGGCTACCACAGAACTAGTCCTTCTTTTAGAAAAGCCTTTTAACAGAATCAAGGCTGAACAGGGAGAAAGGCTTTTCTAGGTAGAGAAGAGTTGACTAAATGAGCATTTAGGCGGACCTGCTGTCAAGAAAGGCACATAAACAAAATGACAAGAACTGCAGTGCAGCATAACAGATTTGATTTATTCCTGTCTCACAGTCCTGGTGTATAGTTCAGTGGGACTGATGCATAGAGGGTGCTAGCAAGCAACACCAAATATTGTCCTCATAAATGCAAGCTGCTAATATTGTGTTCTTTTCTTACATCTCCCAGTTTCAATCCAGTATTCAGCCGCTTGCATTATTTTCAAATTTTGTTGCTTTAAGGCTGGCAGTCATGACACTTTTTAAGGTAGCAATTAATATTGGCTATAAACACATACTGTATGTTTTATTAAACAATACTTTTTCAGTCAAGGTTTTTAAGACCTTTATTTTGCAATATTAGGATACAACAACGCAAAAGAAAGATGAGCATCATGCAGTTTACTCACATAATCGAAAGACCGAAACAAGTTTTTAGTTCTATTCATAGATATTTTGCTGGAAGGGTAGTGTCTCATCTGATGAAGAAAGCCGAGACTCTGAAGTCATAATGCAAACTGTGAAACTGTGAACAGTCATTTTGCACAATATTTCTACTACGGGGAGAGGTTTAAACTAGAAACCACAGCTTACAGCCTGCTTAACAGATTTATTTAATGGTGTGAGAACAATTTAGAACCCTGCCATAAAGGAAAAAGAAAAACATCTAAGGCTGCAATCTTACAAAATGGTCTGAGATGCATTATGAAAACAAAAATGAAAAACAAATCATGTACCTAATAATATACCATAATCATATACAGTACAATACAATATACTGTATATAGAGTATCATACAGTCTATAGCATGTTTTCTCTTAATCCTTTTCATGCATTGCAAATAAAGGAACTCTTTTAAAGACAACAAGGCTGCTATACTGATCCTGGAATGTAAATTCTTATATACATAGAATGCAGACACTATCTTGGTAAACCTAATATACATACTGTAGTGTCCTATTTAAGTACTGTAGACAGATACTGTATGCCCTTACTGTGGCAAGGGCATAGAGTTTAGTAAGTATCATGGAAACTAATAAAATCCAAGGTTTGAAATGAACAAATCTGAATTAAACAAACAAAAAAAGAAAGATCGACTCAGACAAGCCATTGCCTTCTATGAAGAAGTACACAAAGCAACTACTTTTATACTACTTTATCAGTGTCCAGTCCAGTCCAAAAATGTGCTTTATCTGTTATTTCATTGGTAATGAGCACCTTCAATTCCATGAATATCCTGCTGGTTGTAATGAAGGACAGCGATGAAGTGAAGTTGAAGAAAGAAATACAGAGTATCCCCATTTAATACTAAAAATGATCCTATCAGGGGGCTTAGCCAATCACGGAAATTTAATTTCCTATTAGAGTACTGTGGTCAAAATTTCACTCAATGGCAGCCTCAAAGTCCTTTTATCAGACAAAAGTTATTTATGTACAACTGATGAACAGCGTCTGCACCCTGCCAGACATACAGAACAATATACAGTAAGTCGTTTCAATAATCCTTAATTGTGATATGAGTGAGTTGAACACTTTTTCCAGCAGCTTCTTTTTTATTTGAGCTGCCTTTGAAAACAATCTTCAAAATGGTCATATCAAACACAAACTATCGGGTCAATCAAACTAGTTTACTCGTAGAAGATGTCTTTTTAGGAAAATGTTAAAAGCTTACCTTTTAGCTGTACTGAAGATCAAAAACATTCTGTACTGAAGCAGCCCCTGTGGGAGATCTTTTGGTTTAAAAAAAGCTATGCGGGGAAATGCACGTCATCGTCTTTCCTTCCTGACTTGGTGCACCATAGTACTTGACAGCATTGAGGTGAACAGCTACTGGTCTCTGTGCTTTAGGCCCTGCTCTCTAATGTGGTTAGTCTCTTTCATTTTATTTTTTCTTATTTTGCTGAAAAGAATTAAGAGGTCATGCAAAACCTCTTTCTCAGACCAAAAGACAAAGGTATAAAATGTCTCTTTTAATACGAATTTTGGGACATCTCTTTCATTTAACCAGCACAGTTGAGAGTTTGTGTTAAACTTTAAGTAAAACAATAATAACACTTCCTGCTATTCAGAATCAAAACTAAATTGATGTCGGCACGTGTTGCATTTACAGTGTTCCTGAGGTTCAGCTGATTTCTTCCTGACAATCCAACCTAACATCTTTTTGACCTTCCTAAAACAACCCTGGGACTATGGAGTATTTTTTGGAAATGGTTAACATTGACCAATACATAATTTTTCCATATATTAAAACACACATCTTATGATATGAAATTGATGACACTGAGGTCAGAACCTAATGTTTTCTCCCTGTAATGAGACCTTGACATTATGGTTACATTGGGCCATCACTATATTTGTTTTTAACCCATCTAAGTGGTTAGAGATGTTTTCAGATTCTGTAAAGTTTTTGTTTTAACAAACGTGATAATTATTGTATTGTTTGACTTCCACTTATCAACATTACTGAAATTTTCAATTACCTTCAACGTTCCACCATTACCGCTCAAGGTATTATCTTTTTTAACATATGGAATAAGGTAAAATGAGTGCCATTGAATGTTATTATTCAGCTGTATTCATTTTTATTTTTACTAAATGTTAAAGGAAGCTCTTACTAGTAAACGGTTAACTAGATGATCAGGGCATTTACAGATTAAATAATATGTATATCTGATTGTGTTTTACATTTAATGTAATTGCTATTTATTTTCATTTACTCTTTTTTGTAGTAACATTAATAGTAATGTTTGTTACAACATTATTTTACTTTTAAGAATTATGGAATGTTGTAACATCTGCCATGGGATACAATAATGTCTTTGTTATATCATAGAAATAATAAACCAAACATGAAAATGGACAAAGACACCATGAAATCTGCTTCTGTCAGTAAGCAGATGAAAAGGTGTGGTACACTCTGAGATTGCCACTGCAGCTTCTTTTATGGAATAAAGTGCATGTATCCATCTGTCATTTTGCTGTCTGCTTCTTCCAATTCAGGTTCTCGGCAAGCAATGGGTATGGAGACAGGGTACACCTACAGCCACGTGCACACTCACACCAGGGCCAATTTTCCAAGAAGCCAATTAACCTGCTAGAATGTTTTCAGACTATGGGAGGAAACTGGATCACCGGGAGGAAACCCACTCAAACCTGGGAAGAACATGCAAACTCCACACAGATGGCACTCCAGGTCTGGAATTGAATACAGGCCTCTGGTGCTGTGAAGTAGCAATGCCAACTGCTGTGCCGCCATGCCAACCAACGATGTATCCAGAACAAAATTAAATAAAACCTTTGAGTCTCTGATAGAAATCTTATTTCACATAGTGGATTGCAGTTTCCCAAGACAAAATAATGTTATTTATGTTAGAAAGTTTAGACTTTGCTCCCACCTCAACATGAAACAGCTCCAAAAACTGAGTAATCTAATCCAAGGCAGAAAAATGCATTGCTTCCCTCTAGTGTATGATTGAGGAAATAATTTTGTCCCCTTCACCACGCTCATTCTCCTTTTATCACACATTTTCTTTATTCTTTCTACATTTCTAAAAATGGGGGGTTATGCAAATGGTGAAAATTAGGATTTGACTGAACAATTTAATCAATAAGTGAAATAATTATATAACCCCCAACTTGTAAGTAATTTCTAGAAATATACCCGAGCGGCTGATATAAGTAGAGGCATGTGAATTCTTTGTTCTCTGGCACAGCTTTGTTGAATAATAATCCAGGCACACTTGGTTAAACAAATATTTATTACAATGACAAAACACAAATTACACTACATACCACAACACATACAGCACACAAGTTACTCTATGTACAGTATTTACAAACAGGCATTTCAGAGGTCAACATTCTGGTCACCCAGAAAACCCCAGACTGCTACTAAGCATTAAACTCTTAATGCCTACAGAGGTCACATAATAGATGAGCTGCCTACTAACTAAATACAAAGCGACCTGCAGTTAAATCTCTCTCTCTGCACCCCAGATGCTACAAAATAAATGGGAGCCTGTATCCCTATGTGTAAAATGCACCCTAATCAGGAAAGACATTTCTGACTTAAGTACTGTATCTTTTACTCAGGAGACCCAAGTTCCCTAAAAAACAGAATAGCATGCTCTCTTTAACAAGGTTCAAATACTTACAGTAGCTCCAGTTAGGTTTGATTTGGATGATCATGAAGTAGGGGCTCTCGCCTGGCGCAAGCTTCGAGTCCTAACTCCTTGGGACTCCTCTCTCTTCTTTGTTTCCTGCTTCTGGTCTCTTCCTCCTTTTCTCTGCGCTCTTAATGTGATCTTATATTGTCTGTTTCTCTCCTGCAATCATTAACCCACAACTTACCTAGGTACTGTATACTGAGAAACTTTACAATTGTTTCTGCTCAAGGGACCCTCAGATATCAACAAACATCCTCTCTGTTTGGAAGCTAGAAGTGTTAACTCTTCCAAGTGTCACAGACTTTATTTAAAAGACACTTTTCAGTCACATAAAGATATTACAATATACTCACAATCAAAGAAAAAGAAATTTTACAGATCACAATGCAGTCTATAATAAAGCAAGATGAACTTTAGAGAAGTCCAATTAAAGAACTAGGTGCTTTAGTACCTGTAAATCACATAATCTTACTCTGTGCCAACCTGTTAAGGCTACTAAGGCCTCAGTCTTCTGCTGCAGGGAATTTGCTCTTCAGCATTCTGGGGATTATTGGCACTACTGAGACCTGTCACACACACAATAGATCATCAGATTAAATATGTGAAGGACTAAGGAATCCAAGGAGCTGTATGAAATTCCATTTTAAAAACCTGCAATCTCTTAATCAATAAATTTAGACACTCTGACCTTCGTGCCTGCAGCATCATCTCATCCTATAGTACCACTTTGAACTTCGTACCTGGGTCAGCAGGATCGTCTTCTTTAAAAGACGCAGTGGAAGGGTAATTCTTCTTTGTAACAAAGCTCATGACATCAGTGAAAAACTTGGAGGACCGTTGCAGTTCTCATTGACAGCACTATAAGCTCTGTCCTGTGGCAATGTATCCCTAGCTGACCAAGGCCTACCCAATTACAAAGGTGCATGGAGGTATTGTAAAATGTCATGTGGGGAATCCCATTGAGAGCTGGCCCACTGATAAACAGTATCCTCCAGATTTAATTGTAACTTCAGTGATAACATGCACATATAACAGAACAAGTTACATATTGGATAATGAGTCTTGCTTAAAAAATCTAAAAAAAGTTAAACTGTAACCATAATGTCATAGCACAGAGGAAATCATATTTGACATAAATAATTGAATTGCCCAAAGGGTCTGAAGGACGTAGAGCAATTCTGACTGGAGGAATGGTCACTAATCTCCCCTAAGTAGTGCCAGAAAGTAAAATGCATTTGCTCCTCCTGAGATTGCCAAATGCAACACAGAATGTGGTCCCTTGACATCTGCAGACATACTGTATCTAATTATACAGAAAGATGTAAATGCTCTATAAAAAAATAAATTGTCCACAGTACTGGACTGAGCAGAAAATACATGTTTTCTTTATTTGTTTAACCACTGTATAAGTGGTCACACCCTATAGTGCACCTGTTAGTAATTGTAGTCTCCAAAATAACACGTTAACAATTACAAATCATTACAGAGTACAATGTATTGGAGAACATCTAGGTTATTATTAAATAATTTAGGGATCCTGACAAGTAAAGATATTTTATATCTTTAACCGATCGCTTTCACTTTGTCTCTCTTAATGGGTATAGGTCTGAAATTGGTCTTGTTAAGTCTGGTGTTCCTCAGGGCTCAATACTGGGCCCCTTGCTCTTCAGCATTTACATGTTTCCACTTGGTCAGCTTATCACATGGCCTCAGCTATCATTTCTATGCTGATGATACTCAAATATACATCCATACCAAGCCTGACACTGATGCGGCTGTCTCTATTCTATCTAATTGCATCTCTGACATAAAAACTTGGATGACTAAATTTCCTTCATCTTTATTGTGACAAGACTGAAGTCATGCTTTAGGCACCCCCCATCAACTTTGTAAAGCCAATCCTGTAACCCTATCTGCATATGTTTCTGCACTAGAGCTTCAGTCTAAATTGAAAAACCTTGGGGTGGTATTCGATTCTGGCTTAACATTCGACCCACATGTGCAGCATATTGTCAAAACATTTTCACCTCAGAAATATCGCTAGACTACACCCTATGCTATCACTAACTGTGGCTGAAAAGCTGATCAACACATTTGTCTTCTCTCAAATTGACTTCTGCAATGCTCTACTTGCTGGGGTATCTAAATCTACTTTGAACAAACTGCAGTATGTCCAAAATTCAGCAGCCAGGATCCTGACCAGGTCTAGTGCAAGTGATCACATTACTCCTATCCCGGAGTCCTTGCACTGGCTTCCTGTCAAATTCCATGTAGACTTTAAAATCCTCAAGCTCACCTATAAGGCTCTGCATGGCTTGGCACCTCACTACCTGTCTGAACTATTATCACCTTATTCCCCACCTCGCAACCTTCGCTCTTCTAATTCTGGTATCCTTACTGTCCCCCAAGCCTGTCTACATTGTATGGGTGACAGGGCCTTCTCCTGTTATGCCCCCAAGCTCTGGAACTCTCTGCTCAAGGATATCAGAGGATATCATCTTCTCTAAACTCCTTCAAATCCAGACTAAAAACCTTCTTCTTTAGAAGAGCCTTTACTTAACTGGTTCCATTCTTCACCCCTCTGCTTTTCCTTGTACCACCATCCACAGTCTCCTCTCTATATTGTAATTGTGTTTTATCTCGTTTATTCTGCTTTATTGTTGTTCTCATTCTGTAAAGCGCTCTGAGAGGCCACCTTTAAAGGTGCTATATAAAATAAAGTTTATTATTATTATTATTATAACATCATATGGAAAGGTTTATATACATTAAGCTATCTCTGTGAATACAGATGTGTATGCTCCAAGACAAAAGACATTTAATAAAACAAAATATTTCCAGACACCATTAAAAAAAATTAAGTTTATTTTCTCATTACCCATCAAATTCTATCCCATATTTACCTTGTTGCATAAAAAAAATAAGAGCATGAAACACATTGCCTTTTGCCTGATGGGCAAGTAGAAGCTAAAAACTGTTCAGGTGGCAAAAAACAAATTTCAAATTTTACCAAAAAAGCACTGAACTTTATTCCACTATGCAGGAGAAAAATACAAAATATTCTCCTTCACTAGATGTTAATCTTGACTCTGAAATGTCTGTAAAAAGGTTTTTAGCTGTAAAGTTTTTTCCACTGGCCCCTGGTTGTGGTAAAAGCTCAGTCCAGTCAGTAGTTCAATATCTCGCACTCGAGCTACATGGAACTTCATCCACTCCTCAACCCACAGCAGGCTGCTCCCAGACTAAAAATTAGATAAATTGGAAAAATTACTTGAAAGAAAATGCAGTAGATAGTGACGAGTGTACAGCGCACTACACAACATATCAACATTGAGATCAGGGTTTTGGCAAGATGTAAATGCTTCTAGATAAAGTCTAGGGAAATTGACTGAATAGAAAAGAATTAGGTATTGAAAATAAAAAGCTTATAACCTTTGACAGAACAGTTAGTTACAGAACATGTCACAGCTTCACCTTTTTACTCTTAACTGCTTTTTAATTTAGAACCAATTGTTTGGCTCCTATAGCTATTTCATTATCTTTTTAAGACTCATTATCTCTTTTTAAATAAGTAAACACTTAGACTTACAGGGCAACTCTCACTGTTGTCAGGCCTGTGAGGAAGTACAAAGGACGTAACATCCAACTGGCCATGACAGTCAGTTGGGGAAAAGCTGGAGTTCTTACAGCTGGTCAGAATTAGATAATAGTGAGTGGGAATGGGGATTTCCATTCCTGTGACATACCTTTAAAAATAAAAAATAAAAGTCTCATAAAACATGACAAAATTGCTGTTTTCAATCAGTAGGTTCTTAAAGTAACTTAATTTTCAGAAGTCTACCCATCAATTAACTCAATTAACTTATTGATGTCTTTAACAAGGTCATTATGTAATGTTGTCATGGTATTTATTGGTGCCAAAAATAACGCCTTGTAAAGATGTAGAAATCAGATTACTTACTGCTTGATTGTTTTTTTCGTATCAAAGTGTCCATCATAGTCATAATCAAACACAGGTCCACTGACGATATTAAGGCCACTTTTTTGCTGGGAATATTTCACCAGCAGAACATCGTGAATGTAGACCCACACATCTGTGAATGGAAACAGTACTAATGAAACATAATTACTTTTAAAATATCTATAGGTCAAATGCTGAAAAACAGTTATTGCTCATTATTCCACGACTACTTTTGAATTTTCAATTTACAGGAGAAGCAGTAATACTGTATTCATATTGCATCTTTAAAAAACAACATATTTTTTATGAAAAAATAAGGTAAGGAGAAGATAAGCAAGATAAACAAGATTTGGTATGGTAGTTCTGAATGTGTCCAGTTCTTCCTTCCATTCACTACAGTCTGGCTCAAGCCTAGAAACTGCTCTAGGAGAGCAGAAAGAATGGTTACTAAGTCGTGCTCTTATACTGTAGTTTAAATAAACGAGGCGTAGTACAAGCTCTGAAACAGTCTTTTCTCAACATTCTTTATTTACATCCTTTCATTTTCTGACTACTTTATCCAGTACAAGGCAATGAAGGAACTGAAGCCTGTCCCAGCATACAACAGGTTCAAGGCAGGATACACCCTGGACAGGATGCCAGTCCATCGTAGGGCACACACAAACACAGATATGCACACAATCGCATCAGGTCCAATGTTTTCAGAAAACATTTAAGCTACAGTATGTATATCTTTGGACTGTGGGAGAATACCCATGCAAATGCAAGGAGAACATATGTACTTCACGCAGTTAGCATCCCAGGTTTGGAATTGAACCCAGGACCCCAGTGCTGTGAGGCAGTAATGCTAACCCTGCTTTTTATTTATTTACAGTTCAGTAATTTGTCTGCTCTCAATAACATAAAATTGTGATGTTTGAGTTTCCTTAATGTTATTTATGAGTGTGTGTGAAGTACTTGGCTTTACTTAGTTACACAGTAGCAACAATGCTACCTTTCATTCGTGTATATTTACTTTATATATTAGGTAGCACGGTGGTGCAGTGGTTAGAATTGTTGCCTAGCATACCTGGGGTATTATCTGTGTAGAGTTTGTATCCCTCTTTGTTCTTCCTCTGGAAGCTCCAGTTTCTTCCCACAGTCCAAAGACATACTGATAAGTGAGTTGGGTTCTGGGAAAGCTGGCCCTGGTGTGAGTGTGTGCATGTTTGTGTCTGTGTGTGCCCTGTGATGGATTCGCTTCCTGTCCGGGGTGTACCCTGCCTGGCCTCATTGCTTGCCGGGACAAGCTCCATCTTCCCTGCATTTCAGAATTCGAAGAAGCACTTAGAAAATGGATGGATGGTTGGAATTTCATATTCACTTACAAATATGCTGTGATAAAGGAGATTATTGTATTAAAATGTTCATAATGAATTCACTTCTTTATGATATAGTTGGGTCTGTTAATTTTTATTTAATCAATGGGATGATCTTAAGTGTTTGGGGCAATTTCAACCATCAGAGGGCACCATCGTCTATCTATTTTCTAACCGCTTCTTCCAATTCATGGTCGCGGGGGAGCTAGAGCTTATCCTGGCACGGGCTGGGTGGAATGCAGGTTCATTGCAGGAGACATAAAGACAAACACACACACTCACACCAGGGTCTATTTTCCCAGGAGCCATTTAACAACATGTCTGTGGCTTGTGGGAGGAAACTGGAGTAGCCAAATGACACCATCATTCCACAGAATATAACATCCATCTATTCATTAATCTTCAACCAGTCTACTGAATGATGGCAAGCTGAAGCCTAACCCAGTACAGAACAGGGTGGAACAACACCCTTGATATGATACAAGTCACTCTCATCCTTCAGATACTAAACATTTCTTCAGAAGGTGAGAGGAAACCAGAGCTTCTTTAGAAAACCTGTACAGACCTAGGGAGAACATGCAAATTACAAACAGGTGGACACATCACTCTATCATATCAGAGAATGGAAACAGAAAGTGTAAAATTAAACTCCATGGAGTAACAGTATACTACATTATATACGAGTATATTATTGAATGACTTTGTAAAATACATGCAACTGTCTAATTTAGATAACTGTAAAAATGGCTGAATGATTTATTTTTCTGTTAGTGTTAATGGTATTATTAAATTAATAATAGGATGATATTTTTAGACAGGATTCATATAAGTCTAATAAATATGATATACTGTAAATGAGATGCAAATATAAAAAAAACACTTTCTACTTTTGCATATCTGTATCTGTTTTTTTCTTTTTATTTTATTTAGCTATAACTCTTCACTACACAGCGCTGGATTGTAAACTAAATTAATACCTTCTGAGGGACAATGTACTGCCGAGTTAAATTTTAAGTCTCTCAATTTATCTGAACTTTAGAAACATTACCTTTAGGCAAATACCAAATCTGCATTTACTGATTAACTGAATAAAACAGTGGGATACAATTCTAAATGTTTTACTAAAACTCTCTGAGGCTGCACAGATTGCTTTAGTTAATGTTTTCTTCATTTTGGAATAAAATCAAGGACAAACTATCAATTAGGTGTTGTGAACATGTATCAAGTGATGTCAAATAACCAAAGTACACACACGCAAAGTCTATTAGTTCTCATAATGTTCATTTAACTTTTTTAGTACAACATCAGTCTTTAGATAGTTAGCCAATAAACCTCTAATTCAATTAAGCTTATTTTCACACAAAACTACTAACGATTATTATTTTTTCCAAATTTTTATTCCACACATATATATTTTAATTATCCTGTTCAGTGTATCAGTTGTTATAATCGATGTGCTTTGCATGAAAATCATTCTGAATGAACAAATTATAACTTATACTGTAGTTATACACTTCTTATCAAAGTGTATACACTCTGCTATGGTACGGACCTTCTGTGTTTATACTGTAGCAGACATACGGACGGGCCTGGGTAGGAGGAAAAAACTCTTGGGCTGGGCAGATTATAAGGGGCTAATGAATGTCAATGAAGCATGATGCTTCTTTGTGGAAATAAAGGTATTTTCTTGCACAGTGGGAAGTTTGACATCCTTTCAAAAAGCATACCTCACTCTGTACAGCCTCCCTGTAAAGGTCTATAAAAGAAGGCATCATCACACAGGATAGGGATTCACTGAAGGTCAGAGTACTGTTAGGGTGACCTTTGTCTCTCTTCATCTCTGTGCCTCTAGTGGTTAATTTGTCTCTAAGCTATTCACTGTGCCTACACATAGGGAGCACTGTAATGTGACTCCCTAAGTAACTATAAAAAGGAACACAAAAAACATTTTACAACTAAAAGCTAAGATTCTTACATCTAATAGATAATTGATACGAGTTCATTTACATAAAGTCATGCAACACGAATTTTAAGTGCTATAATTAATACTAATTTTATCACCAATTAGAAAATTATAAATGTTTATACAAATTCTAAAAACATATTTTTGTATTATTGCATCAAATCAATGCCACTAGGAACATAAAGTATGAGCTCCTGTAGGATGGCATAGTAGTACAGTGGTTAGCACACCTGAAGAAGGCTTCAGGTGTGCTTACCACTATAATAAACCTATTACTTGTTCCTTTGCAGTGGTTAGCATTGCAACTTTGCAGCTCTGGGGCCCTGGGTTCAATTCCTGTGTTTCTATGTGTACACATGATGCATGTTCTCAGTTGGGTTTGTGGGTTGCCTTTGCGTACTCAGGTTTGCACCCACAGTCCAACAGATACTACCAGGTTAACTTGCTTCTTGGAAAAATTGGTGTGTGTGTTTATCATGTGATGGACTGGCAGTCTTGAACTGGAAGTGATTAGAAAATGGATGGATGGTTGAGCTGCCCTACTGAAATTTATATCTCGGTTATGTAGTTCTAAAAATAAGTTAGAAAAATAAAAATATTTAAACATCAGTTTTAGCTTAAAAAATGTCAAAGACTTTTACACAGGTTGTGACAAACCTCCCAGACACAATCATATAACATTCGCTTTCTTTAAATTTTTGTGTGAAAGTGTGAATTAAGGCATATTACATTAAAAACATAGGAGAATGTGCCAACTACTTTACTGGTATTATGCTGTATGTTTCTTAACTTTTGAACACATTTCAAGACAAATGGCTTTGGAAAGTCTGTTCAGGACCTTTTTTAGCTAAATTAAAGCACAAAAGATAGGGAGAAACCAATTATATCAACACAGCCAAAAGCACAACAAACATGTATGGAATCAAATACAAAGTGCACACCACACAGTAAATTCTTAAGAGTGGTGATAGTAACAAGAAAATTGGCCAGACTCCCCTGATATGAAAAATATTTACCTTTGAATGCATTATACATTGGTGCAATATTGCTGGTTAGTAATGAGTCTGGCTCTCTGTCTTGGGTTCCAAAATCTACAGAAGGAAACACAAACATACAATACTTAGATGTCCAAATGTTACTTGGATTTAAAAGCAAAAAAAGAAAGGCAACATTCTTTTTTACAAATATTATTAAAAACATCTACACATACATGGTAAGGGACTTAAATCAACTAAACTAAAAACTTAATAAGTAAGTCTTTGCCTTTAGATTGTATTATTTTCATGACATACTGTATGAAACATGTCCAGATCTTATTTATGGGCAAGATCCCCTTCACATACTGCAAGTTCATATTCAATAATTCCAACCTGCTGCCTTGAAAATGATAAATCCTATATTCAAGGGCATGTTTGTGATAATCAGAGGTTTTTCACATCTTCTCTATGAAAAATAACCATAAATGAAGGCCTTGAAATGTACAGAGGTGGTTGCATTGCAGTTTTAATTTAATGCAGGCAGTAGAATCTTCATTAACACCAAATTCATTTTTCTTGCTTGGTCAACACCTGGTGACTACCTCATGGATGTAATGTGTTCACAACTTTTACTCTGTGCATCACGTTTCTTCCATTGTTTAAGTTTTCAAATACATTAGATAGCACCAATGAATGTCTATAAAATCACTGTACTGTACTTCTTAATTACAAAAGCACATTCCAGCAAGAAAGCAAAACAGTAAGGTATATGAGTGCCATTTTGAAAAGAATGGGGGCAGAACGATGTCAGATATAGATTCCAGTGGAAAAACTGCAGCATCAAAAATACAAACAAAAGATGTTTTTCCTATATGCATGAATTGTGTTTGTAATGCCTCTCAGGGTATTTCAAAAGTACTTGGTTATTTTTAAAATCCTGAAGCTTGTATTTAGAATTATTTCCCTGTTCCCTGACTGAAAGGTAAAAAAGAAAAAAAATATTGTTAAATTTCTGAAAGCAGATAGAACCAGTGCCTTATTTTAATGGCAGCAACACTCTGTAATCCTGTTCTGATTTAATTAACCTAGTGCACTTACTTGGAGGGTGTAAGAAACCAAAGGTAAAATTCTGGTCAGTGCCGTAGCTGGAGCACTTTTGACTTTGGCTGTCTGGGATTCGAATGTCAGCTCGTAAACATTCTCCTGTTTTCGGATTCAAGGGACTGATGCTTTGCTGTTTTTGAAAAGAAACGCAGTATAGATATGAAATGGATTGTTACCACAAAACCCTATTGTTTGCTACTGTGGCAAGCATTGTGCTCACTGGATATTACATAATCAAATTTCTCTGATGGAAGACCATAGTGAATGTTGCATGAAATACAAATAGCTATTCTTTCACATGGAAAAATGCTTGTAATGTAAGTCTCTCAATAATAAACCAAATACAATCGGTTTATTGGTTATTGTAGAGAAATACAATTAGTTGGATAGCCTTCTCATGTTCTTAGTCTGTTTTTATTGTTCAGAATTACAACAGAGAAGGCCTGTGGCTCCCTTTTTCTTACTATTTCCCTCCAATATATCTAAATGGATAAGGTCATATAGACGTACTGTGTAATAACTATCCATCAATAGATTTTCTAACTGCCTTATCCAACATAGGATTGCAGGAGAGCCAGAGTCTATCCTGGAAAGCTATGAGCGTAAGGCAAGATATACCCTGGGTGGGACGCTAGTCCATCTCAGGGCACAAACACAGACACAAACTTACAATATACACACTCACACCAGTCAATTAACCTACCAGTACTATATGTCTTTGGACTGTGGGAGGAAACCAAAGCACCCAAAGGAAACCCATGTAAACCGAAGGAGACCATACAAACTCCACACAAACAGCACCTCAGGAATTGAACGCAGGGCCCCAGAGCTGTGAGGCAGCAATGCTAACAGCTGTACCCCTGTGCTGCCCAGGCAAATAACTATGTATACCTTAAAAATAATCTTTATGAATTCAGCTTAGAGGTGTGTAGCCCTCTTCAGTTTTGTTTACAGCATGACTAGTCAATCCACAGCCTTCCCTCCCACATTGGTGCTGTTTCCATCAATTATATAATAAAGGAACTACTTGTGTCAAAATTAGTCCCTGGTTTATGGGGGAACTGTGGCAGCTTGTGATGACAGTGAGTCAGAATTTATTTTATTGTGATTGTAAAATTGAAAAACAGCTTTTTCTTTAAGGACAGAAATATCTTCCCCTTCAATTCTATATACAGTAGGAATAATGTTCTCAGTACATTGAGTTTTTGCAGAGCAAATTTATTTTTTTCTATTTAGTCTTTAACCAAGTGCAATCAAAACATAAGAAAATGAAAGTGTCATCAGTTAAAAAGCAGAATGCTTAGTTAGATTCCTGTCCTCCTAACTTTTCTTCTCCACAGAAATCTTCAAGACCCGATAGATATAAGTCCCTATAACCTAGGTTGTACAGTAAGTGCAGCAGAGCCACACAGACCCCAGACAAAGAAGAACACTGCCACACCAAAAAGACCAGCTTCCTGCCATGGAGAATTAATTGCCACAGTTCCAATGGGATGATTCACAGGCCCCTGAGGCCTCTTGCGCTAGTCTTTTTTAACAAACTACAAGAGGTTCTGATTTAAGCCTTAAGAATCTTCAAAGACATTAGAAACTTTAACGCGGATGACTTTGGAACCAACAGTAAAACAAGAATCGAAACACACAAGTAGAAACTGTGTGGAAGGGTGATTCTATGCAAGGTCTTGCAGTTGTCTGGAGTAAGCTACTCAGTCACACCGTCAAAGATGATTCCCCGGTATATTGAAGAACAAGCTAGATTTTATTCCAGAATCAATTAACTAGTCTACAAATGGGCAAATCATCATCATTGTTAATAGCAAAGAGAAGACACAATAGAAATACAAATGCACTTACTGAAGCTTGAATGGTGTATGCTATCCACAGGGGCATGAACAAATCCTTGCTGTATCCATTGACATAGTCTAATTGATGCAAAATACAATATGTGGCGTTTTTCTGCAGCAGATGTGGAGTTCCATATGGTAAATGGAGGTCTGCTGTTTTTGAAGCTTGGAAAGAATGTTTAACAAGAGGTTACATCAATTAACAGACTGCAAGCTTTTCTCCAAAAGAGAGCTCTCTCTCTGACCTAAATTGTCCTTGTTAACTGCCTCTTCAAAGCCCTGTTGCAATTTTACTTGAAGGTTTAACCCCATAGTTTGCCTATAATACATAGCCATGTTGTAATCGATAAGACTGAAAAAAGAACCTCAGTTCAAATTTGTTTATAGACATAGATATTTTGGTTGTCTTACCTGTGGTTTGGAGAAGCTGTTGGTTGAGACCATCTGCCTACAATTAATAAATAATGATTGTTAATTTTCATTCAAAACCATTATGTGGTCACGATAACACACAATAATGTGTGACTTTACTTTTACATCATTAAGGCAAGGTTAGTCCTTAATGAAAGAATTAAAAGTTTAGACTTTTTTGTTATGATACCACACCTCAGACAGAATGGTGGCACCGTGGTTAGCATTGTTGGGACTCATTCAGTTTCTGGGGGTGCTATCTGTATGGAGTTCACTCTGGGTACTCCACAGTCCAAACATAAACTAGGTTAATCAGCTTCTGGGAAAATTGGCCCTTGTGAGAATGTATGTGTTTTTATCTGTGTGTGCCCTGTGAAGGAGTGGCGTCTTGTCTGGGGTGTGCCCTGCCTTGTGTCAGTTGCTGGCCAAGATAGTTATTCCCCTTCATGATTTTGATGAAACGGTTATGGATAAAGGAATACCACACCTCATTTTCAGTGAGAGAACTGCAGGAACATCCCAGGTCATTGAGTAAAGTCGGTCGTGTCTTGGAACACGTTGAAGGATGGGACTGCTCATCTGGGTAGGTGGGAGTATAAAAGGGCCTTCGCAAAATGTGGTTCAGGCTCCCATGAGTTCCATTGTTTGGGGCAGGTGAGATATTTAACAAGTCTGAAATTACAGAGGAGTTCCACAATGTTTGTGGAATGTCTGAATTACATCAAAGTGCACTTAAGCACAATTTTTTTTTAAATAAAAAGATAGCATACATATACTATAAAAATGTTTCAGAATCTTGAGGGTCATACTCTTTCATTCAAATTAGATTTAATATGTTATTAATAACAACATTTTAACCTCTCGTAATTGCTGTGGTGACTAAATGGAAAAGAAAATATTTAGCTGTGCTATGGACAAAGCACAAAATGATGTACTTCAAACTAATAAAATTGTACTCCATGCTGCTGTGACTTAGAAAGTGTGAGTGGAACATAGGTCAACATACATATTAATGTCAGTGATACTTTAATTCAAATGGTTCTCATTCATAGTTAACCCTTTTTCATCAATTTATTAGCCTTTAGTCTTCAACCAGTCTTTATTTAGTGTGTAAAAAATATATTTTACATGGTTCATTAGGTACTTTGCAATGTTTTTCAATGGTACTGATCCTTGATCTTAAGACTATATTCTTAGTTTTAAGGATGAGCTAAGGAGGAACCTAGCAATAATGACTGCTTATGAATACAGGCAGTGTTAGATTAAAGTCTTCCCTTTAAGCTACTTCTACTTCATATGATTGCAGATCATGTGTATGTTTTCTGAAATCAGTTTTTCAGAGGTGAAATCCCCAAGAAGTGAAATGACTTCTTGAAGAAGCATGAAAAACTTATGAACAAATGTTTGGCTTACCACAAAGAAGGTTATAAACTTCAATATTTTCAAATGGAGCCACAGTGGTGTTTGATTTGATTCCTGGCCCATAGCCAATGAATATTCCCTACAGAAAAGAAGTTTAAGAAAATGAATGCAGATAGTAGTTTAATTGTTTCTCTCTTGATCTCTCTGGAATCTCTGCAAAGCCAGGAAACACTCATAACTAAATATGATGATCTTATAGGTGCAAATAGCAGATAGAATTTCTGCACTCAGTGAATTACACCCAGGACATCTGGAAATGTGTAAATGCTTTTGAAATGGATTTTAAAAAGCTCACACTTAATGCCACGATCATTTTCTACAATTACTTTTTCCAAAGGTTACTGCTAAATTCAGTACATTTGGTATGGAATTCCTGATCTTCTTTCAGCCATGGAAGAAGTTTTTAAGCCTATTTTTGTGTACTGTAAATAGGAAAAAACACATTTTTTTCCTTGACTTTGCTTGCTCAAACAGGTTTGTATCTTTGTTCATGTACTGTATATCTGCATAATAAGGATGAGGTACAGTATATACAGTACACAGCAACTTTCATACAAAACAAAACCCACAGCAAGCTTGTTGCTGAAATATACTGAAACTGTTCAGTGCAGCTCACACCATCAAGCTTTGTTCCATGTTAAATTCTTACAAAATACTTATTTCAAAATATGTATTGCAACCTCAGCCATCTAGCAACAGGTGTGCTTGAAAAACTATGATAAGTGATAATCCAAGAGACATTTCTTTCAGGAGGTACTTCTTCATGCAATGGATTGTGGGAGTATGGAACAAGCTGCCCAGCTACAGTATGTTGTTGAAGCTGATCCCCTGGTTTCTTTCAAGAAAAGGCTGGATGATCCTTGGATCAATTACGTAGCTACTCACCTACAAATTGTCTCGTACTTTTTTGGAACCATTCTTGTGCTCTTGCACAAGTGCCTTGAAAATATATATATATTGTAATTCTCTGGACGTTTTTAGCATGTTCCAGGAAATAACCACCCTATGACACAGATATTGGTGTGTCAAAGATCACCATCTGTGCCAATGTTTTTCAGGATTGCCCTCAAATGCAAACCCTAATCAATTCCCTAGTATGGCTTATGGTAATAAATCAGTTATTTTCAATCAGCTGATAATTAAATTATTATTATTTTAGCAAGATGTAATTTTCATCTAATTGGTATAATACTGAACTGTCTGGTAAACCGTGTCATGCCAAAAAGACAAAGACTAATACCACAAGATTTTAACATGTCATCAGCATGTAAAACAGAACAAACATTAGAATTTGGTCAGACATCAAGATAAGAAGTGATGGAAAGGTGGATGTGATCAAGGTAAAGAACTGCAGATGTTCCAATGAGCCAAACCTTATTTGTAAAGTAGGTGACCGGAGCCACCTCTGGCACTTCCTCACTCATCTTTATGACGATGAAACTAATGATGGCAGCAGCATAATGAATTCTGAAGTTTAAAGAAACATTTTACAAAAAGTGCGTCCATACTTGATGGGTGGTGCTTTCTCATGTATGACACAAAACACATGGCCAATGTAACCAAGGAGTTCATCAGGAGGAAAAAATGGGGAAATCCTAGCAATTTGCAATTTGACAATTTGGAAACACCAAAAAACTGAACCTCAGCTGTTTTGGAAACTGCTGTGTTGCCTAGAAGAACAATACAGTATACTGTTTCTTGGATATTTAAATTATCAATAATCCCATAAAAAATGCAAGATATTTAATTCTATTAAAATTAGCAATAAAGTTACTTGAGTCAATCTCCAGTTGCTAAGTCAATCTTCAGAAATATATCCAATTGAGCATGCATTTGACATTCTGGAGAAAACAACTGAAACACCTCAAGAATAAGCAAAAACATTAAGTGACTGAAGTAAAGCATTTCAAATGATTTAAAAAAAGAGTTTGGTGAGCTGAATGGTTCACAGACTCTACATAAGTTGTTACCTCAAAGGGATATTCAACCAAATACTGATTTTTAACTCTGACGTGCACAGTTAGTGTCACAATTCTTATGGTATTGTAAAAAACGTTGAACACAAAGTACGTTTTAGTTTTAACAATATCAAATGTATGCATGGAAATTACCAAAGTAAAATGTGTGTATATATATATAGATGTCTCAAAGTTAAAATGTTTTTTTTTATGGCATGTAAATATGGTAAAATATGTTATGTTTTCTGAAGAGGCTGCATGTCTCATGTCTTACCTGCATATTTTTGAACATGTTATCTGAGCCGTGGAACCCTCCAGTGCAATATTTGAGGCCTCCAGGCTCCCTGTGAGAAAGAGACAATCACATTAGATTAAACAATTACATTACTTTTTGCACTAGGAAAATGCTGAACTATTACAGACAAAATACTAATAAATAAAAAAGGGACTCTTGTTCTCTCAACTATTTGAGAGACTCAACTATCTCTCAACTATTTCTTACATTCTCAAGCATGAATCTTTAGCCCACAAAAACATTCTGCAGTCAACAGTCTGATTCATTTCTTCACCCTTGTTCTCAACTACAGCTCCCATGTCTTTGGGATATCATTGCCATCTAACTGTCCTCCAGAATCTACAGTCCCAGATTTCTTGGAGTGTCACTGGCTTCTCAATGTCACTCCAAGAAAACTGCGTCCTAAAGTTCAGACCACTTCATATTTAGTTACTTTTAAAGTAACAGAATTCTTAAGGTCTTCAAAATACTGGAAGCAAGTGAAGATCCCCCATCACAACACTTATTTCAGTTGTTTGGTCTAACCCTAATTAAGACACAGAATATGTGTGATTGTAAAGAGAATTCATCTAGCTGGGGAGAATGACAATCTGTTCAGCAGGGCAGGGCAGGGTGGTGGCACTGTGTCTAAGGATATGCGCCTGTGGCTGGAAGGTTGCCGGTTCAAATCCTGCGACTGGCAGAGAAATCCTACTCCGTTGGGCCCCTGAGCTAGGGCCTTAACCCTAGCTGCTACAGGGGCACCATATACAGTGCCTTGTGAAAGTATTCGGCCCCCTTG